ATGGTGATGATGATGATGATGATGATGATGATGATGATGATGATGATGATGATGATGATGATGATGATGATGATGAATCCTGTGTCCTTGAACGCTTTGGTTTTTTGTTCCACCCTACGTTATACTCGACAATAACTGTCGTATTTCGATCACATCCATGTATCATGTCTAAAAGACAAGACAAGCCGGGTGGGGCCGTTAGATACCTTCAGAATTTTGCATGTCTGGAAATTACATACCCGCCGGAACTTCTGTAGTAATACAGATACTAGATTCCCCTTATGGTGCAACATCTTTCTTCAGCGCGCCAGTCTGAAGTCCAAGACATTCAGGCATGTAAAGGGCGCGTTGACAATACCTATGTATTATGCTACGCATGACCAGAAATTGCGAAAAAATTGTTCAGCTGTAGCACCCTTTCCGTGCCTAACTGCCCTGTCACCCGAAGGAATCACGATGGCTGGGATACTGCCAGGTTGCCCAAGCCAAGACAGGGGAAGTCGAGAGGCAGCGGTCGGGTTCGAACCACGGACCTTCCGGCCGGTGGGTTCGCGCTGTAAACACTGAGCTATTTCGCCTACCTGAGAAATTTTTTAAGATTCCTCAAGGCCCCTGTTCCCCACACCTCTAAACGGGTGCACAATGAACTGTCCAAAAGCGTCCATACAATCAGACAAGTTCGTCATCTCTGTCCAATCCCTCCTTTTTGTCCAAGTTTTTCATCGACATCTTCTAGCTACTAGAATCACGAACTATTACTATAAACTGGAATTCGTTTTGTTGCTTCCCGAGCACCATTTCTTGCCCATAGTACTTCAAACAGAATATCGGAGGTGGTCACTTGTTTCGAGATGCATTTGGCATCTTCTGAATGCAAAGTTGCACTCACTCTTCAAAAGTTTAGTCTGCTTACTGCCTCACATAGATCAGCAGCCGCATATAATGTCATCGTACTGTGACAGATAACTTCAGTGCGTGAGTAGTCAAGGGGCAGACGGCGTTCGCAACCTTGCCTCAGAACCGTGGAGCTGATGGGCCGTGTATACACAAGGCACTTCTTACAGCAGCCTTATTTAGTGATTTTGAGGCTCTACGATCCAAGGAATTTAGACGTCTTTAACTGTTTGATCACCGGGTCCTCCCCCGAGGCTTCATTTTGGCGCGATACCGTCGAAGAGGAAGATAAATCAGCAAATTGCCGACACAGGCCACTAGAGACCCCCAAATATACACAATACGAACCCATCAGGAAACCCGGACTCCAAAACTGCGTTTGAGCATTGTGGATGTTCTCATCTGTAAGATAGAATAGATGGGGAAGATAGACCGGTTGGTATAGAAAGCTGCGCTTTGGAATGCTTTGTCGACTGAGTTGGATAAAGCAGCGATTATCGAAACTCGCGGACAGTACTGTAGCCGCTTACACAGTCTGAATGTTCCAAAATCAATTAAAGCAAGCAAAATAAAGCAAGACATCCTGTCGGAAATGTCAGGTGGCTCAGAGATCTGGGAATCGTTCCAGAACATTCGATAATTACTGGAAATCAACATTTCCGCCCGGATCAACCAAGATTTTTGCCGAGTCCGCGGGGGCCAAAAAAGCCGCTTACCGATTGGACGTTCAACCAGCGATGACTGATAATGACCGGGTGCTCGGACGTGACCCAGAATTGCCGTCAAGCGACCATTCATAATGTGACGATGATACCACTGATGGGGGAGGCATGCGACCAGTATGTTTCCTTCTTGTAAATTCGCTTTACGTCTCTTGGAAAGTGAGATCTGTTGCGGAGTCTGTGGAGTCACTTTGTAGCATCTGCTTGGGTTTGATGAATGAATGATTTGATTCAATGAATATCCAGGAAATTTCAAGAAGACACGTTCAAGGAGAAGAGGGATGTTCAGTTTTTGTAAATAAGATGCAAACGAGAGTTTTGCTTCCCTGTCCAATAGTCTGTAACTAGTCAGTTGGCATTTTCTAATAAATAACTCCCAGCGAAGGCCTCCTTCCTTTCAATAGTAGACGTACGCCTTAAACACCTCCAAGGTCCCCGTGATTTAATACTCTCCTGTTCTCAGCAAAACTGTCGTGTTCTTGTTGAGTGGTTCTGATGCAGTTGCTTTCTGGAGCTGAGCTCTGCACTCACTTACATCGAACGGCACGGCCACTTTGCACAACTCAGTACAGACACGAAAGTTGACAGACCGGGCATTCTTTGTGAATTTTGTTTTTGTTTTACGGTTATGCGATCGTGAGACAGCCAGGCTAGTGTTATTACTCAGATTAAGAACCAAAGAATCACTGACTGGCAGACAAACATATGCGGTAGTGTGCTTCAAAAATCCACGGCGGTTGCAGTTTTGGTGAGTCTGGATTGCTTGACAGATGTCATTGAACCAACTAACAATCACACACTGTTTACACTGACCAAACTCTATGGTTTGACTCTGTGAGCAAGCCGTCGATTTGTCGAAATGGAAGTAGCTCGGGTGTGTTTCCTGGTGGTTGATCAGATGACAGTCGATCTGTTCGCCACACTGACGATGTCTCCTCGACTGGAGACGAAACGTTTGCAAGCCAATTGCCAAGCCCGGTGAACAGACCAACTGCCATCTGATCAACCACCACTGTGAGCAAGCCATCTGATAAGTACACACGGTAACCGACCCTTCAACCGTTGTGTCGCCGTAGGGCGGCTGATGAAATTCATCTGCAGACTTGCTGAATCCTAGTAATCAATTTTCTGATGAGGACGATCTCCTGTAACACTGTTACGCATGGTTTTTATCCCCTGAACTTATTGAAGTGGTCAGTGTCACTTGAAATTAGTTAATTCCCTCGTTGGAATGTAGCTTCTATGTGAATTTTTTGTTCTGTCGGAGGAACACGTGCCAAAGTTCCGTTCACGTCAACAGGACTGAAGCTAGAGGTGTGCATATATTGAGGATATGATATATCTTAGTTATACCGCTGGCCGGGGACGATGGTGGGATCAAAAAATATTCCCACTTGGATATCGTCTAGTGAAAACTGCCTGGTTGAAACTGATAACCATGGCGAATTGACCGTGACTGGTGAACTGAGTCCAGGCGCGCCAACCCCACTGCATGTGACTTATCTTTCCGCGTGTACCCCCAAAATCCTCGAGCTTATTTCTACCCCAAAAATAAAATTATTCTGGATAAAAAATAGTTCTGTTTGTTGGATTTTGAATGAGACACCAAATAAAATGCAACAAAACGAGAGGGTTGAATTGTTCTCAGAAAACCGAGTGACAGAAACGAAAGGTAGTGAAATCATTTGGGTGGAAAATATTGCACCAAAAAAAGGAAAATGATCATTGCAAGGCGTCAGAAGCGTTCTAAAATTGACATCACGGGGTTTCGCTAAAATTAGGGTGTCGAGGATCAACCAGAAGCAGATAGACTTTCTTGCCATTTGTGAAAGAGACCAGAAATCGCTTCTTGTCCGCGGCGTCAACACAGATGTCTGCACTGTACACTCCGACAGGTAGATTGGTCACTAAGGCCAGTTGCTATTATGGGGAGGGGGTAATGCAGATCAGAGGATAGCTCAGTTGTGAGACTGGTATTCATAAATGACTGCATTCAAAGGTATGTTCGTGATCACACGCGTACAGATAATCTAGCTGGGCTAGGATTTTGAAGTCCGCAAAACAGATGTTTCTTAGTAGTGAAAACAAATGAATCTGGTTTTAAGCTGAAAACAGCAAAATAGTTTGTTATTGCGAATGCAGATTCTGTTTTACAGTCGCAAGCTACCAGGAGTGTCAGATTCCCCAAAGTAACCTCAGAACGCCCGAAACCTACTGAGACCCTAAAGCTCCACCAAAATCTCAATAGGGTAGCTGTTAAGCATCCAGGTTCGTCAATCATTCAAGCAATTCAGCAAAGCCTGCCGAGTGTTCAGGCACGCCACAGAAGCACGACCGAATTTGATCAGTATTCAAGTGAAAGCACGATCAATATAGATTGGTGTTCAGACAGCCTGGATCAATGTCAGAATGTGCCCTTCAAATAGCGCGAGGCCATTGTAACTTTTGCACTAACACGCACTCACTCCCTTGTTCGGAGTACAGCTTTTGTGTTCCCTTCTGTGAGGCCTTTTTCCGGCCTTAGTCTCTG